AACATGTAGTATGTAATATTCATTTTCCCTGTGGAGGAGAGAGCTACATAATAAGATCTGTTTTAGAAATTGCTTTAGGTATCTGGTGCACATGAACTCTAAACTTGTAGCTCTTTACCATGTTTTGAAATACTGCAAAGGTTAAAACTGCATCTTTTGCTGTCTGCCATGCAGTACAAATCTATCTGTAGACATTTGTGAATTTCTCAAATATTGTAATTAAATTCACAGTGTCTTTACATTTTTCAGCTGATCATATTAGAGAATGTTTAATTGCATTGTATTATATGTGGCCCAATTATAGTCCTCCAAGCCAAACCAGACTAGGAGCTTATGATTGGCAGTTGGCAAGTGCCTGTTAGCCAGAACCAACACTCTGTGTTAAACTGTGATCTCAAATGAGGTTTTCTCTTAGTGGTGGAAGGTTAATGTTTTGGAGTGTTTAATTTTTATTTATTTTTGAGGTGATAGTTAACCATGTATATTGCTTCTATTTAATGGATGTCCATATTTATAAAAACTAAAAAAACCCTTAAGGCATACATATAAATAGCCAACAAATACCAAAGAAATGAGGTTTTAACCCATGATCAAATTCTTAGAATATTGAGATCATTTACATCTATTAACCTAAAGGAAAGATTTTCTCTAAGGATCTTAAACCCCAAAGACATTTAGTAAGTGTTTCATTTCTCTCTAATTATCTCGGGAAGCACTCTAAAGACTACTGTGTCAGTAAGAATTTTGACCATGACAGAATTTTACCCCAAGCTTTTCCTGTTTTATTATTCTAATAAAATATCTTTGCATCATTATTTCAGAGGTTTAAATGTACTTATCCTTAAAGAGAAGTTTCAGTCATAAACTATTATTTGCAGAAAATGCTTCTTAGGACTGATTTTTAATAAGCCTTTTTAAAGTGGTAAAACAATTAGATTTAATTTAAAATGTTTGCTTTGGGAGATACAGTTGTTGGACATACATGAATGTTAGCTCTTTATTAAGAGGTAACACTAGATCTGCATTGCATTCATAAATTAATATTTTGAATTGAAATCCCCTTATGCAACTACTTAAAGATAATTTTAAAAATTTAAAAGGAGGTAACACTAGACTTCACAGTTCAAAATTATTTTATGTATGAGGGGAAAATCCCTATTTCTTTTTCAGTCTCTTTGCCTCTCAGTATAACTTCTCTACCTACCTCCTGCCTTGCCTACTCCTACCTCTGAGAGAGTTGAGATGCGAGGCATTGCAGATCTCTGAACTGGTTTGGTTTGGGGAAGGGGGTGCTGTTTGGTTCTTTCTTTGTTTTTTTTTTTTTGTCTTTTCCTGGCACTTAACCAGATAAAGCTAAATCTCAGGCAGTGTCCAAGGTCATTCCTGTATTCTACAAGAGTGTGATGTTAAATTTAGTTTGGAATCTCTCCATTCCCATTAAATTAATTCTAACCAACATCTGCATGTAGACTCTACTAAATATTTGTAGATCTAAGTTTTTTTTAAAAAACAGAGAGGAAGTTGATGAGTTTTCAGGAAGAAAAGAAATATAAGCTCAATCTTAAGTACACTTTCCCCTCTGAATCTGAGTTTCTGGGAAGAGTACAAAGTATGAAAAAATTCAGTGTCTATTTCCAGAAAGGTCAAATCAGTCCCTGAAGTGAATTTTAAAATATCTGGAATGGAACAATATTTCAAGGCTACAAAGGAAATAAAGTAAGGATTACATTCCTCCCTCAGGTAGCAATCTTCCCTCATGGCTTCCTAGGGAGTGCAAAAAGATAACTCTGGATTCAAAGCAGGTGGTTTGTGACTTGGGGAAAGCAGACTCACAGGAGAGCAGACGATGGTGCTGTCTAACCCGTTAGTGGGTTCACATTCATTTGGTCGAGTGGTTATCAAGTAAGAGATCGCAGATGTCTAGGTGGAAGGTATATGTGCTGGGGCTTGTTATTCCCACAGTGGCTGCTACAGCTTCTGTGGATGATGTAAATAATTTGGTTCAGCATTGGCTTGGAATTCTGCTTTTAAAGTGTACAGAACTCACATTAAAGTTTAATTATGAAAGTGTGTGAGCTAATTGAACAATCAGAATGTGTTTGCATATGATTTGCATGCTTACTGTACTAACCTGTACAATGTCCCCATCTCCTTAGCTTCACTGCACCCACTCTCTGCTCCCTCTCCCCGCCCCAGCCCTAGTTCCAATCCTTTCTCTGCAACCTTTGGTACCCGCAGCTCCTGTCATGTCTGTTCAGGCTTATTTGAAAAGTGCCTGTTGAGCTTGGCCAAGGTTAGAGCTCAGCTAAACTGTAGGGCTAACTGACGATGCTTGGTTTGAGTTGTCCCATCAGCGGATACTGGCTAGAAGGATCTTTTGATGTCACCCAGGTCCTCCTTTTGTATCATTCCACAGAGTTGTGTGCAAAATTCTGTTGTTCTGTTAACAATGTCCTCTGTGACTTAAATGTATGATACCTGTTTGCTATGTTGTTGCTTTTTTGAGGGAGGAGGGAAGGGTGAGAAAAGTTTAATGGGAAAAACTAGAGGATGGTTTGCCACACCTGGGGGAGTTTTTATTTAAGAAGTCATAGCTGCACTAGGTCTAGAGTTATAAGTTCTTATAAAGATTAGTATTCAGCTTCAAAATAATAATGAAATCCATATAACTGCCACTAGTTTGGTTTTTTTTAAGAGAAGAGCCTAGCCAGTTGAAGACTAGAAAGATAATTAAAACCCAGGCATTTGTGAAAGAATGAAAAGAAAAAAATCAAACTACAAATCCTAAACTTAATGGCAGTCAGTTATTGCTTTAAAAAAATGAAAACCCATATAAATATGAAAAGAAAATTGAAGTGAGTCAGAAAGAAATCATAGAACAAACAAAAGTGCTTAAGTTAATATTACAGGTAAAAATTTAAAAACCATCAACAGGCAGGGATTATGAGGATCAAGCAATATACAAAATATACAAGAATCTCATGAACTAGAAGAAATCAGTCACAGAGAGGGACTCAGAAGACAGCAAGAGGAGCTTCAGGAGTTTCCCTGGTGCCATGCTCCAGTGAGGTGCATGCGGTGGACGTAGAATGGTCAGACTTGACCGATTCTATGCTTGAAGTGATCCACCAACAGGAGAACCCCCCCCCCAGCCCTCCACAGCTGTGGCAGAGCCCATCTCTTCCTAAAAGACTAGAGAACTTCCCTTCTCAATCCCCTTCTCTTTCAAAACCACATAGAAATTTCCAGAAAGCAAGGCCACCTTTGACAGCTACCTTGTACTCTACCTAGTTTAAATCTAAATTGCACAGTCATCATTGGGATGCTGGTCCTCTGCTCAGGACTCACACTCCATTTGAGCCTCAACGGCTGTGGCTACTTCTTCACCTATAGGGTTTCTACATCCTTTCAAAGAATTTAATGAAAGCCATGGACTGCATTTTTCCCCCAAAACACATCTGAATGTGTGCATTCCTTTACAGTCTCCCTGAAAATCCTCAAGACCTCCCAGCGTGTCCATCCATTTCCCAGTACTGCTATGGGACTTGGTCTGTGGCCAAGATTTTAGTTGGTTTTGGAGCTCATGAGACCTGTTTACACTCTTGAAATACCTGAGAAAATAATTTACCCTAAATCTGTAAGGCCATCCAAATTCAGGTTAGAAGACAATAGCTTGGAAATCTTCCTCTAATCACTTTCATTATGCCCATTTGAGAACAAAGAACTAAACTTTGTGAAACCAAAATCTTTGCCATGGAAGAAGAAAAAATATTATGTGACTAGGTACAGTGACTCATGCCTATATACCCAGCTATTTGGGAGGCAGAGATCAGCAGGATTTCAGTGTGAGGCCAGCCCACACACATTAAAAAAGAAAAATTAGCAAGACTCTTATCCCACAAACAAACTGGGCAGATTGGTTTGCACCCATCATTCCACTCGCTGGGAAATATAGGTAAAGAGAATCACAGGCCAAGGAGTTGCAGGCAGGGAAGCACAAGACCCTAGGTGAAAAGAGTAACTAATGCAAAGAAGTTGAGGGGCAAAAATATGGCTCAAGTAGTGCAAAGCTCTGAGTTCAAACCCCAGTACCTCCCTGCCCAAAAAAAGAATATCCCATGTGTTACATGTAAAACAGGTTAAAGTCAAAAGAAAAACCTGCCAAAACAGATTTTAACTTCATAAATTCTCACTAGGTCTTTATAATAACAAAATAAGCCTAACTTATAAAAAGTAATAAATGAGAACTGGAGGCATAGCTCGAGAAGTAGAGTCCAAACCCCAGTGCCACCACTAAAAATAAATAAAAGTGAGAAATGAAATGATACTAATAATTCATATGACACATTGATACTCATGTATCAGTCATATGCAGTGTGCTTGTACTTGGGAATCAGGATTTTCATGTGCCTACAGATACATTTCACTGTCCAGTCTGCACTGGTGTTTACATTTATTAGGGAGGATGGTCAAGTCCATCCATAGCAGCACCAGGAGCACTGTGTCACACATCTGAACTCCAATGAGAGAAATTAGCTCCCACCTACTAGTAAAGGTTACTATTAATATTCTACTTAAAGAATCGTTTTTCCAGAAATAGAAAATTATTCAAAGTGCATGGCACATGTCATGTAGAAACTAAAATTTCTAATTTGAAAGTAATTCAAACCAAAAATTTCCAGCAGTGAAGCCTTAAAACACAAAACGAAGAATTAGTAAATCACATTAATGTCTTCATACTTTATCTTAAAAATCACTTAGCTTAGGGTCTTATCCTGAGAATAGAATAATGCAACTTCTTCATGCTTCAAAGATGAACTTAGCTTTGGGAAATATGGCCCTAATACATGTGAAAATTAATAGCTAGTGTTCATATACTTATGTTAGGCCCGCATGCATTTGCACATTCACAACACACATGTGTAGGTGAGCTTAATCGAGTAGGGGGAATGAACATCACATGCTGCTCATACCGCCTCTGGAATTAATGTCATTTTCAGACAGGAGACTGGGGAGAACCTTCTATCACCTTGCGGCCTCCAAATGAAGCCACAGCCTCAACTCCAGTGCAGTACTGGCAGCATCACCCAGAGAAGCTCATCTTCCAGTCATGTGACTACAAGGCTTTTGTAAGTCCCTTTGGATTCAGTGTTGGGGTACCAGTGGGGTTAGTTTCAGGTTAGTTTGCTTTTACTCTGAAAATGTAGCAAAATGTCCATTGTTGAAGTTTCCTGAAGTGCTTCCTCTCCTCTTCCATACAAAGAAAAGTTTATTTGAGACCCTTTAAATCTTGTAAACTTAAGGTCTGATTTGCCATCTTCTTATAGTGTTGAATATTTCCAAAGAAACATGATTAAAGAACAGTATTAAGTGAAATGAGTAACTAAGAAAGTAGTTCCATGATAGAGCTCTCCCTTTGCACGAGGAAAGCCCTGGGTTCCATTCCTAGCATCACAAAGAAGATAAAGGAGATATGGACATAAATTTCTCATCTACGTACAGTGATCTCTAACATTGGAGCTAGTGCTTCAATAAGAATATCAGGTTCTATTCATTGTCATCAGAAGGATTTTGTTGCTGGTGTAGGTTTTTTCCTTCTATTTTTAGAGTCAAGGGAATAGTTATACTTAGCTAAGAATTGTGATAATTTAAACACGTAAATGTTCAAACAATCCTGTAGGCTCTGGGGCAGGTGGTGGTAGTCATGACTACTGCAGGGGAAAGAAAAAAAGAAAAAGAAAACAAACACTGAACCCACTGCAGCACACCTCTCTAGAAGAAATGTTCCAATCAGGGCAAACTTTCCTGAGAACTTAATGGATAAGACTTTCATCACAGTCATTTTCCTTAATTTGATTAAGATGTGAGCATTCTGGATATCACCTTGTACTTTGGCTATTCCCTCTCTTACTGCTTCATTATCTTGAAGCATTGCATTTCTTTCCACGGTTGCTGCCCCAAAACCACAAGGCTGAAATCACTTCCTCCATAGCTCAAGCCCAAATCCCTGAGCCTCTCTGAACATGCCTAAACCAGGCCTTCCTTCTGCTATTGTGCACCGCCAAGTCACTGACTTCCCAGGTCCTCAGAACTCTCAACCTCATGGGCCAGGTGTCTCTAGTTAAGTCAGGACCACATCTTCAAATCTCTATGAAATAATTTTAGCTAACTTTTTAATGTAGAAAATACTTGATTAGTTTCTATAATCAAACCCACATACACAAGACCTTATATATTTAATATAACGCTTTACCCTTGCATAAATGGAAAAAATAAGTTTGGTGTTTCTAGACCAGTATGGCTATAAAATTATGTGCAATGCCAATTCAACATAGTAAACCAAGCTACTCTTTTCCTAAACTTGACAGCACAACTAGAGTTTCTAAAAATTCAAGTTGTAGCCAAAAAACCAGAAGTGGAGCTCATGTGGTACCGTGCTAGCCTTAAGCAAAAAAGCTCAAGGACAGCACCCAGGCCCTGAGTTCAAGCCCTAAGACTGAAACAAAAAAAATCAAATTGTATGGCACATATAATGAAAGATAGGTAGATAGACAGATTCAGACTCTGCAATTTTCTGAACAAAATTGTAAAAGACATCCAGCACACTCCATTTAAAAAAAGGTAAAAACCCAAACCCCAGAAAACAGCAAAGTTCTGTTACTATTGTAGGAAGCTGACATCTTTTTTTTCTTATTAGCTCATTTTTTAATATGTGTGACAAAAGAACAATTGAAAGAACAATTGAAGCTTCAAAAGGGCGATGAGGAGTCAGTTAATAAAAAGCCAACCGTTTGCTCAAAATTGTTCATTTGCAACCAGAGTGAGTAGAGCTTCTGATCAAGGTATTCTTGAATCTAGTCAACTCCAGACAGCAAAATGGCTTGGGGGTTTGTCTTATCTTTCTTTCCCCTGCCTTTATCTACCTCCTTTGCCCCAGGGACTCAGTCCTGTCCCGCTGTGAAACTGAGAATGACAGTCTTACCCCGTCCACGCCAATCCTGTTCTCAGGTGGATCAACACAGGGCACACAGCTGTGAATGAAAAAGGTCCAAAACTGCATCCCTGCCTAAGAACAGCCTAACATTAATTACCTATGCTGCCAAATAAGCCCAACTGGGGGGACATGTTGCTTAGCTTCTCAGCTGTCTCATACAAGCCTGTAATTACACAGAAAGTAGTGTGATTTATTTTTGCAGACATTGCTGCCTCAAAAAAATGGGAAAACATTTTTAGATGCTCCCATTTTGTAATTAAATATGATTTGAAAGATGACATCTTTAGAAAATGCTGTAGTTTCATTCTAAAGAGCAGTTTATAGCCCCCCCCCACAAACTTATGATGAGTTCTGCTGCATTCTCTCTATAAATGCATCTGTTTACAAGGATTAGTTACTATAATTTTTTAAGTTTTCTTCAACTTATAGCGACCAGTATTGACAAGAGTTTGTTTTTAGATCATGACTCATATTTATACTTGCCTTGTAATAAATCAATCTCTTTTTTTTTGTATTTTAGTATTTAGGTTCTATGCTGATAAAAGAGCTCAGGGGGACAGAATCCACCCAAGATGCTTGCGCAAAAATGAGGGTAAGTTTGCCAAACTCTATTATTCCTTGTAGTTGAAATACTAAATACTGGGTATGGGTACAAATTGCTACCTTTCAGATTACTATTCTCTTTCTCCGTTGGTCTGCTGAATCACATTGGTGTTACATAAAAAGGTGTTTACATTTTGTCCATATTTACACTTGGTCTTATTGTAACTTATGTCTCTTTGATATAGTTGTACCGGATTACATTTGTTCTTATTTTTAAGGGATTAAAAGTCAATTATGTGTAGATGTAGACAGACATAGATGCAGATATTATAAATACAGATACTTCTCCAGATTAGGACACAGATGATCCTTTTTTTTATTTTTTTATTTTTTTAATTGTGAAAATACCATACAGAGGGGTTACAATTACATGGGCAAGATAATGCGCACATTTCTTATCAAGCATTGTTGCCTCCTACTTTGTTTCCCCTTCCCATCCCTTCTTCTTCTCCCCCCCCTCCCCCTGCCCAAAGTTGTAAAGTTCGTTTTTCCACATAACGATTTGTACATCTCATTGTTGCAATGGGTCCACCTGTATCCCTATTTAAACGACTTGTTTTTTCTCTTCCCCTCCACAAATTATACCAACATCAAATACAGTGAAAACAGGGGTTATACCGTGGGGGAGGGAGACACAGATGGTCTTTTGTTTATTTCACCAAAAAAAAATGTTTTTAAGCATCCACTTGACAGTCTGACAACATTACTGACAACACTGCCAAGAAACTAAAAGTTATCAAAAGCACAAGAATCAGTAATGTACGCTATAAAACAAATATTGTATGTGATTTCTTAATTATGCTGTACTTTACATTTAACTGGGCAATGGTAGCTCATATCTGCAATCCTAGCTACTCAGGAGACTGACATCTGAGGATCACACAGTTCAAAGCCAGACTGGCAGAATAGTCCATGAGACTGCAGTTAATCAGCAGAAAAGCTTGACTGGAGGTATGTGGCTCAAGTGATAAAGTTCCAATGATGAGTAAAAAAGCTGAGAGCTCAAGGCCCTGAGTTTAAGACTTGGTACCAGCACAAAATTTAAAAATAAGTAAGTATGGGGCTGGGAAGGTGGCTCAGTGGTAGAGCGCTTGCCTTGCATGCTTGGGCCCTGGGTTCGATTCCCCAGCACCACATAAGCAAAAAGAAAAAAGCCGGAAGTGGCTCTGTGGCTCAAGTGGTAGAGTGCTAACCTTGTGCTGAAGAGCTGAGGGACAGCGCTCAGGCCCAGAGTTCAGGCCCCACGACTGGACCCAAAAAAGAAAAAAATAAGTAAGTGAAAGAAAAACATTCAGTTCTAAGTAGAATGAAATATGGAAAACAGTAAACAACAAAAAGGGCAATTCCAAATGTCCATGATCAGTGGCTACTGGATCTCTAGGAACCTATATCCAAAACTACACCCCACCCATGACCACAGCTTCTCCTTTCAGACTGCCTCGTTTCTTCTTGAAGATGTATACCAAGAGTACACAGCAAATGTATAGAGAATATGGCAATATCTGAGCAATAGTCCAAAATCAGAATGTTAGATTTAGTCAACAGAAAAACTAGCTGAAGTCAAATTTAAGGAATAAATCTCTTATTTGTGGACAGTACCTCCTGTCACTAATTTTACATGAACATCTTTTGGTGGGAAAGTTGTAAAATGTATACAATTGAGCTAGTTACAAAGATAAATGCACAATATCCACTATTCATGGGAAGCTAAAAAAGTGTGACTTCATGAAATGAAACTTCTGTATGTAATCACTAATAATATATTGATGAATTCCAAAGCAAAAAGACTAAAATAGTCTTCATCTCTTTGATGCAATATCAACTGATTGTCTATCCTAGATACTGTATAGATGGTTGTTGCTGTTTTCTCTACTTGAGAGTCACTTTATTTGTAATATGCTAGCTGCAAACATTCACTGAGTAATTACAATGTGCCCTTGAGTAATTGTTACTCCCACTTACAGAGGAAGAAACTGAGGCTTAAAGAGATTAATTAACTCTCTCAAGGTCACACAGCAAATAAATTCAGACTGGAATTTAAGTCTGACACTAGAGTATAGACTTTTTTTTTTTCTGGTACTAGGGCTTGAATTCAGGACCTGGGTGCTTTCCCAGAGCGCTACTTCCAACTTTTTCTGAGTAGCTTATTGAAAATATGAGTCTCACAGACTTACCTGCCTGGGCTGGCTTCAAACTGCTTTCCTCAGATCTCAGCCTTCTGAGTAGCTAGGATTATAGGCATGCACCACTGGCACCCTGCTATTACACAGACTTTCAACCACTAAATTCCCCTAATTTCTCTAAACTTCTGTTCTCATGCTTGGAAAATGATAACAGTTGACTGAAGAGTTTTTCTGGTTCTATAATTCTAGGAATCTTACATTCTAAATGTATACAGATCTAAATTGTGTTACCAATAAATGAGAAAATGGGGGAAAATTTTAATCATTAGGCCCCGTAATCATTTTGGAGATTTTCATAAGCATGTTTATGAAATTAATTTGGCATATCTGACTTAGTACTATTAAGTAAATTACCTGAGTCCAGCTACTTCAGTGTTCTAATCAGCATAAATATTGCATTATTTGTGTAATATCATTTGAAATACACCAGATCTGTGATCAGAGTTTCATTCAATGCTCAAAATTGAGTGACTGTGAAATTATATCTGATAGCAATAACAAAGCCATTGAATAGATTAGGGGTGAACAATTGAGTTAAATATTTGTATGCTTCTTAAAATGAAACTTAGAAAACGCTGCCTGTGGTCCATTTTACTGGTTTCCTGCCCCTGATGTTTATTTTAAGTAGCCTATATGAAAATAGAAACTTTCTTAGCTTCTTAGAATATCATATTTCTCATCCTGATTAAATACACCTCAGGCCAGATTGCATTCATGGAGCCCTTTAATGTCAGAAGCATAGAGTGCCTATTTTCAGGGCTGGTCATATTGTGAATTAAAGCTTTCATCAACTAAAAGTAGTGTTGATTTTACCTTGCAGTTAATTTTCACTTTGAACCAAAAGTTGTATTCTTGGCTCTCAACCTGGTGGCATTTTAGCCTCAAATCCCAGTATAATCATCTCCCCTCCCCCCATGGGAAATACTTTAGGATCCAGGTGCGCTTAAAAGTAGAGAAAGCTGGGCGCCAGTGACTCAGGCCTATAATCCTAACTTCTCAGGAGGCTGAGATCTGAGGATTGCAGTCCAAAGCCAGCCCTGGTAGGAAAGTCCATGAGACTGTTATCTCCAATTAACCACCAGAAAACTGTAGCTCAACTGGTAGAGCGCTAGCCTTGAGCTGAATAGCTCAGGGACAGTGCCCAGGCCTTGAGTTCAAACCCCACAACCAACACCAAAAAAAAAAAAAAAAAGTAGACAGTAATATTATGTAAGCCAAAGTATTGTAGATTAAGACTTTACTTGGCATATTCTTTTAATTGAAAAAAAGGTAGCTTTCAATTCAACAGTGTGCACCTTAACTAAAACTAAAATTTCCAGTAAGAAATAAATCAGAGTAGCTTATTTGGTTGTGAGCAAATGTTTCCATAAATGTATTTTGTTAGCAAGGATGATTAATGTCTGTCTGTGTTCTCACTGAGTTGCCAGCCCCATAGAAAAAGGCATGTAAACATTTAATGACCCCAGTGTAGTACCACCCAGGGCATCTTCACATTACCATCAGCCTAAGGGATCATCATAGGTGATCCTGAGAATAACAGTCATAATCTCCTAAACCAGATCAGCAGGATTCCTAACAGTTAATACATGTATGCCCAGCCAAGAGAATGATGTACATTATTTCATTTAATACATGAAATAGGTACTTTATTGTTTATCCAAAATATCCTTTACCCAGGAATACTCAGATTTTGAATTTTTCAGATTTTAGAATGATTTCATAAACACAATGAAGTGTCTTAGGGATGGGACCCCATTCTAAACACCAAATGTTATTTCATATCACATGGCGGTGTTTTAGGTGAACCTGCATTTTTTACCAGTGCACCAAGTTAGATGTGGGATTTTCCACCTGGCACATCATGTTGGCACTCAGAAATTTTCAGATATTGGAGCATTTTGGACTTTATATTTTCAGATTAATGATGCTCAATCCTGTTGTCCTCGCTTTACTTATGCGGTCAAGGGATGTCAAGAAACTTGTCCAAGTTCAAGCAGTGGAGGTAGAGTCAGGATTTGGATGTAAGCAGTGGAACTCTACTACCCACATTGAATCTCCAGGTTAGATCATTTCTCTAAGATATAGAACAAACCTTGTTTTGAGTTCTAAGACATCTTAAAAAGCAGGTCACTTATGTGACTTGCTAAATAGCTTTAGTTGGAAGTGGCACCGTGGCTTAAATGGTAGAATGCTAACCTTGAGCTGAAAAGCTGAAGGACAGCGCCTAGGCCCAGAGTTCAAGCCCCACAACCGACAAAAGAAAAAGAAAAGAAAAGAAGATAGCTTTAGTTGTCTGCAAATAGTCCCTAAGAATGTACTGCCTAAATTAAACACAGATACATCTACAGATAGGTACAGCCCCATGTATTAACATAAACAGTATTTTTGGAACAGTCCTCTCTGCATCCTTAGTAACTATAAAATGTTTTACAACATTTACTTTAACAGTCACTTTTGCTCCCCCCCAAAAAGTTACTTTTTTCCCATCTCCTCAGAAGCATTCCAAATGTTTGATAATCATAATTGGTTAACTTCTAAGTTTTTTTTAAATTTATTTATTTATTTTTTATTTGTGAACATACTGTACAGAGGGGTTACAATTACATGGGTTAACTTCTAAGTTTATCTAAGCCTGTTCATTCATCTCTGAGGTCCCCTTCAGTTTTGAAAGAAAGTTAATTTTTACTAACTTCCTGGTGTTTTATTCTATGTTATTTCAATTAGAAATACATTGTAATAGCAGCCAAGTGTCGGTGGCTCACACCTGTAATCCTAGTTATTCAAGAGGCTGAGATCTAAGCATCAT